TAGTATTAGCAAATAAATAAATAAGTTGCAAAATTTTTTTGAATTATTATCAACTATCAATGCATAAAGTTAAAATAAATATTGAGATAAGTAGATTATGTCTTGGATAATAAATAATTTTTAAATAACTCTAATTATGTTTAAAGTAAGCTGGTAATAACGTTCAAAATTATTAACTATCATTATCTCTTTATTCTTAATAGAATATAATTATGAGCGTTAACTTGAATTAATGCATTGGATAATAAGAACTGCATATGTAATAAAACTAGAAAATAACTTATTTAATATCAGATAAACCTTCATTGGATCAAGAAGATGCTTCATTACTCCAACATTTCATCAGATCTACTGAGCAGCATAAATTAAGTCAGCATGGTTTCTATCATAGCAACCTTGATAGAATATCAGTTTCTAATCTGATTATCAATGTTTTGCTAGATATTCAGGTGTTGGAGTTATTTAGCAGAATCCAGAGTAAAATTTTTTAGCCAACTCTTGACTCCAGAATAATTAATAAACTTCAGTAACATTTGTTTATTGGTAGTAAATAAAAACTTTTAATATGATAAAGATTATCAGTAAGAGAAAATCAGAAATGTTCATTTCATTTTTCTTTATTGATTAAGTTCAAGATAAACGGCAATCCAAGCAGCAAAATATGTCATTTTAAATAGAGTTATTCACTGTACACTAATAGAAAGTCGTGTAATTATTGGCTATTTTTTCCAACTTCCGGATTAAAAGAGTAAAGTCTGATATTGCGTCTTGCGATATATCTGATGGATAGTTCCTGCATTCAAATCTCCATCTTTCTTCTTTGCTTTGCGCGTTCTCGCGTCAATACGTAACGACTATCCCGCGGCATTCTCTTGCGCAGTAATTTCTAAATCACCAAGCCAATGATTTCATCGACTGTCTCTTATAGAGAGAGATAGGCTCTAATATGAGAAATAAAAATGAAAAATAGTCAAGAGGTCGTCTGTGAGTTGAAGACGTGGGAAAAAAAACACGAGAGATTTTTATTGTAATCGAGGAAAATCGGCCTTGATCTCGAAACTCCTTTCGACTTTGTAGGATTATATATAATGTTGTTGATGATGATGGAATAAAAATATAGTTTGTATTAAATCACTTTGTAAAAATAGATTAACATTGTAGTTGAGGTCCAAGGTTTTATTTGTCTCTTGGAGCATTTTGGGTTACCCTTTTGAACTATTACATTTACGTCAACCGTCCACTTCCGGTTCACGGCAGGTGCGTGCTTACGATGTGTAAAAATGAAATTCTGTTTGTCTCTTGTGGACATTTACAATGCATTGTTCCAACTGCTAAAATATTTTACCACATTTTTTTGTAATTGTTTTGAATAATGAATTATTTTCTCACAGAATTAGATAATAATAGTATTTTCGTACATTTATTTCTATTTTTTTTCTGTTTAAATTTTAAATCCTTTTTTTACATAAAATTTATAAAATTAACATTTGAAACACTTTTATGAATTATTCAAAAATAACTGTTTGTTATTTTTTTTTCTAAAAGAAAAATTGCCAAGAAAAGTTCAATAAATAGTTAACAATTCATTGAATTGCATTTAAATCCAATTATGTTAATTAATGAAAGTGCGAACTCCCAATGAATTTAATTAATTATTTCATTATTACTTCTATTTAACGGTTATTATAATAAAAGAAAATAATAATAAAAATAAGAATGAATAAAAATATTTCAAATTCTCCGTTAATTTCACTTAAAAAATTCTTTTTAAAATAGAAATAATCAATAAAATGATTGTATTTCGAAATTCCCATTAATAATTTAGTAATAACTATTCTTTCCGTTTTCCAATTAAAAAAAATTCCATTCGAATTGTCATGTACTCATTTCAATCAATTTTTTTTACAACAAAAAAAAAAAAAAAAGAAATTATGTAATAAAAAATTAACCTGCGGTATTTTCCGTATGCCTACAATACTATTAACTGTTGAAGTGAAAGAGAATGGAATCTATTATTTTCTTTCTCATTTTCATTCATTCCACACACGCGGAAAAAATCCAAGTTAATTTTTATTATATAATTTTCAAACCACATTACGTACTTGACTGTCACTAGAATAATAAAAAATTCAAGTAGACTTAAATTCATATAAAAGTTTATATAAAATGTTTGTGAGTGAATCGTGCGCATACCAGTAAGACCGGTCGATCTGCCTTGATCGATCTTAGAAAACTCTCGCTGAGCATGCATCGAATACCTGAAGGCCTTGCATTCTAGTATTGCTTTTTTTTCACTTTATTCTACGTGTACAATTGCCTTTTTTCTCATATAAATCGCGGCACGTGATATTCTCCTCAATAGATTTGAGTCTTAAGATCAAGTTTCATCTCTAAATCCGATATTAAATCATAAGTAGTTTATTTGTCCATTCAATTCTCGGCATCAGTGAAATGATAATAAAAATAAAGATGTTTCATTTTTAAAAAATAAAAAAATGTGTAAATAAAAAAAATTAAATACTTTATTATGTGAGAAAGAGATTTAGGGGAAATAAATGGAAAAAAAATTTGGGCCAACTGGGAGAGGAATGATAGTAGATGCTCATTAACAATTCAAATGTGTTTTCCGGTTTGCGCGTTCCCCATTCATTTGTACACGCATTACCGTAAGACTGAGGTGTTATATAGCAGGTAAACAAGAGTTTTTTGAACTTGGAATCATAGTGAAGAACAAGAGAATTATTCAATATATTCAATAGATTCTGAAGTGAGTATAGAGAATGAGGAAAAAAAATTAATTGAAGAGTTATCATTTGTCATTTTCATTTAACCCAAGTGACCTAAGACTCCTTATCATTTGACAGTAATTGAAGTGAAAGATTTTTCATGTTAACGGGAGAAACCGGAAAGATTGGCTCTCTATCCTATAAAACGATCTATGATAAATCGGAGTATGTTAAGTGTATATTCAAAATGAAACCAGGCAGATAGATAGGATTCTTCCACGATTTCTCAAGATATGTGAACATTAATGTAAACATAAATGCATTAAATCGTTGTCATCTAAGTTCAGAAGACGAGGAAGAAGAAGTCTTAGTAGATTTATTCTATGTTTTAATTCTTATAATCTACAACAGAATAAGTTTAAAGCAATAATTAAAATAACTATTCTCATCAGCATGTTTTAATGAGTTTAATTACGCCCTGATGACTATAAGTACTTTTCATCAATTTGCTCACAGTATTCATTAAATAAAAAATTAAAAATGAGAAACTTTTAATTTGGAAAAATTTATTAACAAATAAAAGATATTTTAATGTAGAAAGAGTGCTAATTAACTTTTCTACAAACATAGGAAGCTATTCAATAAAAATGCCAAGCATGTGTTACACGATAAGAATTTTTCTCCTGCTAATCTGTTTATTTGATCAATGATAGAGTAGAGATGTGTTGGGAGATCCAGTGTGATCTATAATCGGGACATGTAAGAAGTCAAGGTAACTCCGGGTGTAAATTGGCTTTCCAGTGAGTGGTCATATATGCTGGCTACTTATTTTCCTTTTTCCCTCTTCACTGAGCCTCTTCATCATAACTACGATACTTCTTTCTTCCTTTTCCTCGAGTCATTGCCACTCAGCTCAGTCGAACACACACAAGTCCTAGATAAAAACCATGTAGAAGCCTTCTATTCGCTTATTATGATGTCTAATCGCCTCATTCTTGTCGATTTCTCTTCACACATCATCTAAGTACAGGTGTGTCATGATGAAAAGATGAGCGTGAGATGTGAATTAGCATGATTTTCGGGCGTTCTTTTGGCTAACGAGGTCGGGAGGTCTTGGAACATCTCGATGGGAACTAAAGTAACGGTTAAATGAATCGGCAGAAGCAATACAAAGTATCCGTTGCTTTGGCCCCAACCTGGCTATTGGTCACGGGCTGTTGACGAGATAGGTGGGCTATTTGTTCATTCATTTATCCGTTTATTTCTAGAATTTTGTCTCTCTACATTTTGCAAGTACTGTAATGTTTGAGAAGAGGGTTGATAATTCAGTGGCACTTCAGGGTTGATTACCATCATTTTTTAGGTACGCACGAGCGATTCTATCCACCGTTATCGTTAGCAGGATTGCAATAGACCACCAAACTAGTGGAACTTTCATGGATGAACGATCGCCAACGCCCTTCTCTTGTATATTATCAGAAGCCGGAAGGGTTTCGTCACTGACGATTGACACTTAACTCATATGTGTTACATGATCGGCCCGAGAATAATACTAATAACCAATTATATTGCATCAATCATCATATTATTTACAGTGAAGCAATCAAATACCATCGGAAATGATTTGTAAAATTTTTACAAGACTTCTCTGAGAACAACGAAAATCATCAATGGCATAAAAACCTATTTTGCACCATTTAGAGATTTGTTTGATGAACGGAGTAGTATTTACCTTGAAAGTAAGTGAAAAAATGGTGATAATAATAATAATAAGTAAAAACGATAAGATGCCGGAAGTGAAAGAGTAGCAGAATAAAATATAAAAGAAATTTGAATGCTTTATAATATCATGTCTTCATTAAAATTTATTATTACGATGCAAAATTATACGAGAATGTCTTCTCTCGATCGTAAGAAGGCATCTTGAGGTCGGCCGCACCTAAATAATGTCCACGAAGGCACGCAGTGTTAATTTTCCACCTAACAGAAGTCACTCGTTTGTACTAACATTTTACGCGACACATATCTACCTTCTAAGTGACATGCGTCTCTCATGAAGTCTTTCACGCAATAATACATGGTTGTGTAACAGTTTATTGGACTCATTTGAACGCACTATCTAAGAGTGTATGTCTATTCATTGGTAAACATTACGTATGCTGTGAAATAACGAAATATTGAGAAATGTTATTTCAATTGATTTATAATACACGTTTCTGGCAACACATCAAGTAATTTGCAAAATAATTGCGTTTATAAAAATTTTGTGCTTACCACACGAATGTAATTGCTGATCATTTCTGCAAGCTGAGGAGCACGTGTTGTATGAAGAGGAAGCCGAACACCTGAAGCAATCGTCAAAGTGCAAACACCTGCTCGTGTGGAATTTACTGAGACAATGTCCTCTAATGGAAGAGTCTCTAAAATTACTAATTCGCCTGATGACGTTCTTTTAATTAGCCTCAACCCGTGATGGGATACTGCTACGTGTTGAGCGTCAGGATGTTGGGGTCCAACCTGGGTGAAAGAATCCAACATTAATTTTAAAACAGCAGATAATCTTCTGAGTAAAAATAATTTTGATAATATCACTGTATGATACAATCGTTTAATTATTATTAAAAAATAATTTAAAAAGGCAATTGTTTCATCATTTTTACTTTACGATTCAATAAAAAAATGGATAAAAAAAATATACTTACAGAAACAGGGAATATTCTAGCGAAATACAAAGGCCATTGTTTAGCCATATCCACAACGTTTTTCTTCATAGTAATTTTATGTTGAGTACTTTGGAGATTATCTAAAGTAATTCCATAGTTATCAAGCAATTTAAGCATATTCTGTCGTTCTTCCTTGGTGATCCTGATGCTCGAGGTTGCAAGAACATCATACGCAACTTGGCAGAAAACTAAATGCAAAGCTAGAGGACTTGAAAGAGTTTCATTGGGTGCAAATACTTCTTTTTTTACTCTCAGTGTCCAAGAAACTCTATTGTAAGTAAAGTGTGTGTTGGAGGTTGGTGGATGAAGCTTGGTATCGACGATTTCTTGGGCCTTCTCGATCTCTGGCTTCTCCGGAGGCGGCAAAACTGGTTTAAGAAATTCTGGCCATTCTTCTATTTCAATTCTCTCCATTTTATCTGTCTGATGAGTCGAAGCTATACTTGATCTTCTATCTATATCGTGATCTAACTTCTTGTAGCTTTGTCTTGCCACCACAAAAGATTCTCTCGTATTAGGAACAACTCCAAACTCTCGTGTCGAAGGTAGACCAAAACTGTCTCGAGATTTAGGCGATAAATCTCTCATCATACCAAATGAATCTCTTTTAGAGTTCTCAAATATATCTCGAGAATACTTAGGGTCGAATATATCAGAGTTAAGATCTCGTCGAGAATCAAAATCAGAGCTTCTATCGCCCCTAGTTGTGCTAGCCATGTCTATGCTATCTTTACCATAATAATCTTTAGATTTTTCTCTGTGATCATCTCTCAGGTGTTGCTGAGATGCAAATATATCACGACTTTGACTAAACATATTTTGATTTTTAGAGAAGTGATCATGGGTATCAGAGTCAGGTGATGTACGGAAATTATCACGAGTTTTTGGTTCCACTGGAGCTGGTGGAGAACGTGGCTGTGGTACGCCCGATTGACTGTAAAGCAAAAAAAATATTACCTCATTAGTAGTGAATTTTATCGGTATTCTTTTGTTTTAATTATTTGAGTATAAAATCTTAGATTTTAGTTTGTTTGTTTAAATAAAAATAAAATGACCTATAACAGGACTTTTGTTTTTTATTTTGTTTATATAGTAACTACGACACATTTATGCCAAGGGCATTATCACTAATCACAGTAATTCAACTTATCCTCTTTATCTTAGACATAAATTATTATTCTTATTTCTTCTGATTTTTATTAAAAACAACATATGCACATACCTATTGCTGTAAACACTAGCAGTTCGAGGACTCGGAGGTTGGGGAGGTGTAATTGGTGGTGGAGGAGGAACAGGTCGACTCTCCATTCTTTCAATTTGAGTTCTCACAACATGAACTTGTGTCAACATCTCCGTAGTACCTTTTGAAGTCACACTCTGGGCATCATCTGCCGTTGATGCATAATCATCCCATCTTCCGCCTTAAATGAAAAATGTCATTGTGTTAAGATGAGTTAGAAAAAGCTAATCAACAAGCAGTTAATTTATCTCATAGGTTTCATAGACCTTAAAGGTAAAGAATGAATAAGATATTACCTAACTGCTGTTGTAGAAGAAGTTTTCGATTGTCCTCAAGTCGATTGACCTTTACATCTTCTCGAGGTAACGCAGGTTTTTCACTCGGCTTTGATGAACGAACGCTGTGGTTTGCTGTAACTTTCTCCAATCGTTGCCGCATCTCTGAGCTGAGTTTTAATTTACCTATGCTGCCAGGAGATGGTCGTTGAGCTCCAACTTCATATCCAGCCCTAGGACATAGCAATTATAAATCAATTATTAATTGACTACATCTCAGATCTTTAAGAGAGGATGTAATGATCCCCATAGGAGATGAAATAACTTTCTAGGATGTGAGATATGTATTTAATATTCTCAGAAATAACAGAAATTATTGTTTAATTAAAGAATAATTTTTTTCAATCACATCTAAAAGTGAAAATATAAAATTTTGATTGTAAATCCATTATAAATAAGTTATCATAAAAAACACAATTATTTATTCATTTCTCGTCTCTAATTTTTTAGTAATTCACGCAATAAGACAAATTATTTATTCAGAAAAAATTCCTTACCTACATTTTATGGGAAAAATAGGAACTTATTGCTTTCTAATGAATTAAAAATTCCAAACGCATCACACCCTTATGTAATTAAAGCATTACACGCACTTGAGATTTATAATAAATAATTAACTTACTTAGACTTCTTTTTCTTCTTTTCTCCCTCTTCTTTGTATCCATTTTCATGTTCATGCTTTTTTGTTATAATATTTGTTTGAATTGTCGTATGGTTTTCAATTTTAGCTTCAGTCACTACATTTTCAATTTCAAACTCTTCCCAATCAACAGAACCTTCACCGTTCACATTTCCATTCGTGTTGTTATACTCTTGATAGTGAGGAGTAATCTTACGTTGCTGCTGATGTTGTCTCATTTTAAAGTCACTGAAAGTGTCTTGGTTTTGGGTCTCATTAGAGTCACTGGGCGGTGGCCAGCGCCATTTACCAATCCGAACGGTTTTAGCACGTCCGTAGGGGTCCAAAAATGGCCTAGACTCCGAAGGATCATGTGCATGTAATGGTGGAGGCATAGGTGGTGGCGGTGGAACACCTTTGCTAATGCCTGGACTACATTCTGTGCTACTTTTCCTGTTTTTCAACTCACTCAATACATTCGTAAAATTACTTTGTACGTTTCCTCGTCCTGAACTCGTTCTCTTTAACTCTGGTGTTGCAGAGACCTTTCTCTCAACGCTCACCTTCCTTGCTGAATATTCAACACTCGTTTTCCTACCGAGGTCTAGACCTTTCTTAGGTGGACTTTGTGATCGATGTACTTGAGCTTTAACAGTCACCGTTTCAAGTCGTTGGCCATTGGGAGAACTCGAAGTCATGGCACGTGTTTGCTCAGTCTCAACAAATGACAACGGTTGCTGTACGCCATTTTGCACTAACAGTTGTTGGAATGCTTGATTTTGAGCCAAAAGTTGCTGTTGAATTTGCAGATTCTGTGCCATGGCACTCTGAAGAAAAGCTCTTTGTAGATTTTGCTGATAAGCAACCATATCTGCATTTTGATTTGGTGGTGAATTCGGAAATTGTGGTAAATTAAGTCCCTGCATATTATAAATTGGAATCGGAAGGAAGCCAGAATTCATATTGAGATTTTGACTCTGTCCAGTAGGCATTTGTTGAGAAGGAGAGAACATTGGCATCATCATTGGTGGCGACATCATTCCAGGTGACAAAGGACTAAAATTGAAAGCTGTATTCTGATTTGGAATATCCATGTTGCCTCCTCCCTTAATTTTAGATATTAAATCAGCACCAGAGAGTTCTTTCAACACTAAATCATCCGTAATTCCATCCAAAAAATCATCTAGAGTTTTCGCAGAAGCTTTGGAATCATCTGTCAATGTTCCTTTTATACTGGCAGCAAGACTTCTAGCATCAGAAAGCTCGTCAAGATTTCCATCAAGCACTGGCATAAAAAGTTCGTCCAAAAATTGATCTACATCTGAAGCTTGACTTGGAACTCGTACTCTTCTGACATGAGAAGCAAGAGAAGGAGCTTCACTGGTATCAGACATTGCCGAAGACTTGACTCCATATTCACTTTTTTCAATATAAGCTCGACTAGACTGACTACCAGGCAGTGCTCGTTTACCTGGATACTGAGACTTGATAAATCGCGTTTGAGATCTCATGTAACTGCTTTTATCATCCTCAGACCTTCCAGTTTGGCTTACAGATTGTATATCCGGATATTCAAAGTCTATAGTCAAATCTTCTTCTTCAACGATGTTTGGTTCCGTACTTCTGCCGATCCTGCTGTATTTTCTTTCTTGAGACACTTCAGATCTACTCATGTACTCCGCATTTGTGACGGCAGATACTTCGCCGATCCTTTCTAGACTGTGGTATCGTTCGTTCAGTTTTGATGAAGAAAGGCCTAATGTCGTCAGTTTACTTGGGGAAGTAACAATTTCAGATTGTAGGAGATTGTCTAGACTTCTACTCCGCTGTTTCTCTTTCTCGAAGTAACGATCGTTCAAGGCCGATTGTCGCGATAGACCTATTTCTCCAGAAGACTCTAAAACTGGTTCATGTGACTGCTTTCTTGTCTGTAATTAGCATGAGAAATAAATAGATTAATAAAAATTTGTACTATTAATGAAAGAAATTGTAATACATTTTTAATCTTATCTCTAACATGGTTATATTATTAATAAACAATTATCTGAAAATCTCTATCAAAGTAGCGCTTACCACCGTGGAAAAGCCTCTTAAAGGCATAACAACTATTTGGTATAAATGAAATCATTTAAATCGAACAAATATTGATATCATTTTAGAAAGCAGACTTCAGATTTGTTGTAAATGTTCCAAGTTGATTGGCTAATTTTTAGCCTATTGATATTTTAAATGTTGATAAACAAGATTAAATATGTAAAAAATACTAACAGGTGATTTTACAACGGGTGGCTGAGGTGGAGGTACTGCTGGTCTCCTTGGTGACTGTATTTCCGGCTCAACAGGTTTATCTACCACCTTCGACACAGGTTTTCTCTCCAATGGTTGGAAGGTCTTCAATACAGGCACTGGTATATCCATGTCTTGCTCCAGTTCTCGAATGACTTGAGTGTGCTGAAAGAATCAAACGTTATGACGGAAGATTCTCACGCTCGCATTCTCATTTTCGCCGACTATATAACAATATACTGATTTAACAAATACTGATTTACAAACTCTCACCAGATATACGTGTCTTTCCTTTTATACAATCTTACCTCTCTCTTCTTAATTGGCGGGAAGCTGTTCTTTCGCTGTTCCAGGAACATGTGCTTGGCTGCAGGAAACGCCGGTGCGAGCTCCATCTCAGATATTAAATCAAGAACGTAATCAAAACCATTTGTTTCAGTTACTATAGCATCTGGTCCACCTAATTGATTCCAGAGAGTAATTGTCCAGCCGAAATTATCAACGCCATGATTCTGAACAGCTAAATTAGCTAATTCTTCACAAGTTGTCCAGGAATCGATTGCACAAGTTGTTGTTTCACCTTTAAATAGTAAAAATACAATACATAACATTTCTGATAGATTTAGAGATTTTTGTAGAAAAATAATGATAAATAAAGCTTCTAATATATTGTTGAAAAATATTGATAATAGCTATTTTCTTATAGCTAAAGAGTAAGTGTTTATGTGCGTGTTTGATCATATATAATGTTTAAAAAGTAAATATAAATAATTACCATCATAAAATCCAACAGTTAGAGCCATATTAACACGATTTCTATTTGCTCTCCACTCAAGAACACATGGAGGATAGTTTCTTGGCACATGATGGGCTGTTAATTGATTGTTGTTCATAATTCTTAGCACGGTTCTTTCGCCTTGAAGCAGTTTTCGTTGACAATATGATTTGTAACCATCATAAGCGTAATCAGAAACATATCTAAACAAACAAACATTTATAAAAATAACTGTTAATACTTTATTATAAAAATAACTTGGATTATTTCTTACTTTAAAAAATATTTGAAAAGCACTGGACTAGGCTGGAAGGCTGATAAACAGTTGGCTAAAAGTAACCAGCCTCTTTCATTATTTGCATCGTTTTCATTTTTCCAAGTTTGATTAGCAAGTTGGCATAAAATTTCATCCCTCAGCTTTTCATTAACGATTCCTTTATTTACAATATAATCTCCTAAAGCCTGTTCTCTTTTTCCACTTAAATTATTTTCGTTCATGAATCGCAAAATCATTTTAAATATCATCAAAGAGTCCGTATAATCCTGATCTCGAGCTTTTGCCAGGAATGGAGTTTTTATAGGCTCTCTTTTCATTCCGAAAATATGGCTTTTAAAGTAAATGTTTGTAAACTTTGAAAATTGATGCTGGTCAATGTCCGCAGGTAGAGAATATGTGATTGGCAGCGGAATAACCTGACCAACAACTTTAAGAAGATTTCTTTCTGAATGTACAGGTTGCCAATCTGCAAAAAAATTAACATACTTATTAAGCAATTAGTTTCGGTTAATTTATTAATAAAAACCTTATTTATTACTAATAATATTTTAAGAAGAAAATTTCACATTTCAAGCAAATGAAGTTCCATGCAATGTTAAAGGATAAGAATTGAAAGAAAATTTACCATCAAGTTTACTATAAATAAAAGCCAATTCTGCAGGAATTTCTAGATGATTGACACCAGCAACAGCTCGTGAAGTTCTTTCCTGTTCTTCTCTTTGCTGCTTAGCTTTAGCTCTTTCTCTACTGGCTCTTTCAATCTCAGCTCTTTTAGCCATCTCTTCTTTGAGTTCTTTAAAGTTCTCTCTTTGCTTTTTACCACGATACAATTTCTGCGCCATTATTACACCTTTTTTCAAAGCATGGAATTTTTTCCTCTCTCGATATCCTCGATAAACTGCTTGCAGAAGAACAGTAGCTCGAGAAATATTTAAAAACCTCCTTCTTGTAAGAAAACCTCTCGTATACCTAAAATGAAAAGATTATAGTCATAAAATATTGTGAAAATGATGCAAAAATTTTATAATATTGTAAGAAAGATATTTTTATATTTTTTCATCTGAAGTTTTACTCTAGTAAGATGAATTATTGGTATCAAGTCTTATTATCTTTTTAAATCTTTTATTTCCAAGATAAATAATATAATTTTATTTTAAAAACAATTAAAATGATTCGTCAATATTCAGTTTCCTGACTAAAAACTTTATGTATCCTTTTCTCTTAGTTTCATTTCTCATTTTATTATCTGGGTTTTTGTATCTAGTTTTTTCTAGGTAATAACTATAATAAAATTAACATACCGTTGCACAGTAATTGCTGCTCGTTCAAGAATCAACGCCCTGTTGTATTCTAGGTTTCGTTCCAGGGATTCTCTCAAGAAAACTCTCGTCAAACCTAATTGATATTGATCATGAGCATCGGCAGGGGCAGCTTTGTCTAAGATTATGCGACAGAGTTCCTTATTCGGTGCACCGCGAGGTAAACGTGTAGGTATCAAGTATCGATACCGATCTACAAAGTGACTGAAGAGGAGTCGAACTGGATAACCAGTCTTTCTAATGCGTATGGTCTCCAGCATTCCAGTATATCGAAGTTGCTCCAAGACACAAGGCATGTCAAACTTCATTGATGATTTGTCATTATTTGGCTTAATACAACGCACAAACCAAGGATTACACTGCGACATGGATTCAAGCAATTGCTGGAGACTATCATGGAACCTTGCAGAAACAGTTGGAGTCCGCGGTTTCATTGTAACAAATCGTCCGTTGGGTTTATTCACAGTTTTGTTTGCTTCATGTGCTGATCTGACATGCTGAAACATCTTGCTGACCATTTGAATCTTGCTGCTGATAAGCAACTCAACGACATCGGGTCGTAAAGTATCTCTGTTCTTGTCTAGAAAGCCTTCGACATTATACCACACTTGTCCTGCGTAATGTTTGATTGCGAACTCTGCGGAATTCATTCGCGGTCGAGAGTAAAGTTCACTCAACGCATGGTTGTAATGGCATTTTTCGAGGAATGAAAGATCAGTCGCTTTTGGAAAATTACTTTCATCATCTAATAGATGAAGAATTCCCACTGGCTTCTTTGCAATTAAATGGATTACTGGCAAATTATCCTGTCATAATGATCAATCATTCGATTAAAATTTTATAAAATTATGTGTAAATTATATTCTTGATGACAATAGTTAATTTTATATTTTTTATTAATAAATCTATGTGGCAAATAAAAATAAATATAACTTACAGTATAATTGATCGTAGTCCAATCGATTTTTTCTTTAGCGTATTCTTGTTGCTCCAACTTAAAAATATGCTTATTGAAATAAAAATGAAGGTTCTCATTAGCATAATTAATGCACAGCTGTTCAAAGCTATTTTCAGTAAAATTCTCAAAGCCAAATATATCAAGTATTGATATCGCAGATGTTTGTTTGGTTCCTTTATAGACGATATGATTCACTCGTGCTACCAACCAAGAAAAGAGGGAACTATAAAGTGCCTTAGCAAATGCATCTCTAGCATCTAATGCTTGATCGATATTTAAAGCTGTAAAAACTCTTTCATTTCTTGCTTCCTAAATAAAAAAAAACAACAAATTAATTAATCTATGAAATTATTTCTAGCTTTTAATATTTAAAGTAAGATTAACCATACTGTAGTTTTTGTGGTGAGTGCACGAATAATTCCATCAGCATTTATTTGGAGAAGATGCGCAGCCCAACGTATCTCAGCATCTGAACCAACTTCAACCCCTTCCTGACCATGTCTCATTGGTTTTCTATGAAAGTATACATTACCGAGGTGTAAAACACTCGCTAAAATCCTAAAAATAGTGTCCTGTTCTTCAGATGTAAATCCAAGAACTTGCATTGCCGATAAAAGAGCTTTAAATCCTTGAGTATCATTTCTACCATCAATTTCACAGCTTCCACCTTGATTGAGATAAAAATATTTATCCGGAGTTAAAAGCCCATATTTATCTCTTAACTGTTGATCTAGGCCTGCTAGAAGTTCATAAAAGACGTGGTAATTTCTTTCATCCTGTGCTTGAGTCACTATTCTGCTTTTTTCCAGCAAATATTGCGTTACTCGGCCACCAACAATTACTCCACTGTGAAAAAATTTTTTGCAATTAAAGAAACAAGAATTTAAGTAAACATAAAATACAAACTAAATGTTAAAATTTAAATCCAAGTTCTTAAACGAAAAACATAAGAAAATTGTTTTGAAATAGTTCAATATCCTTTACAAAATGTACTTATTTCAACCTTTTTATTGTTGGCCCCTATCGTTCATCTACCTGGCCGCTTGATCCTTTTTCGAAATTCGCTGAACGTGACGATTTGTTTTATTGCATGTCACAATTTCGTAGGGATGTTTTATTGCTCCGTATTGTTTATATGTTTTTAAACTTTTAGTTTTTCTAAAGTAAAATTAGGCTCTAGAAATTTTCCCAGTTGTGGGAATTTCCCAGTTTTAGTCTATTCGTGACAGGTAGACAAATTTTTGACCAAGTGCAAAAATTTTTGGGGGTGGATGATAACCAATAAGATCAAACAGAATAAAGGTTGAGAAGGGATGAAGGAGGTCCTTAATGGAATAACTAAGCGCTAAGACCTCGAAATTACTGTATATCCTCGTGATACTTCAACTTGTTCACATCGTGAATATTTTGTGCTAATTTGGTGAAGGCGGCCAACGAACTTCGAAGGAGAATCCTGAGACAACGACGCAGGGCAGCTCGCCGACAACTTAGGATGGCCCGCCAACTCCGCCGGGAGCTGAACTGGATCAACGGCATGTAGAGGCTTCGTCCGAAGCCTCTACATGAACCCAGGTAAGTATAATCCATCTAACCCTTCCCAATCCTATCCTTATCTTCCTTCCCCATTCCCCTCCCGACGGAGGACGCCTACCACCTTCTCGTGGTCTCCGTTGAGCAATGCGAGCAATCACTCGCATTGGCCAAGAGTAGGCATCAACTTTTTTCAAATTATCAAAACATAATGATGACATTTAATGTTATTGTTGTGTTTTAATAATAAATTTATAATGAAGATTAACTCACTCTCGGAAATGTACTTCCAAATATTTTCCAAATCGACTACTGTTGTCATTCCGTGGAGTTTTGGCATTTCCAAAGCTTTCTAGAAGTGGAGCAGCTTCCAAAATTTGTTCAGTAACAAGATTACTGGGAGCACGGTTTACTGCAGCTAAATATTGCATCACTAGCTTCGTTGATTCCGTCTTTCCTGATCCAGATTCGCCGGAAATCACAACGACTTGATTGGCGCTAGAATTATTGGCTGCAGAAACTTGGCTGTAAGCTGATGAACCCACAGCGAACAAGTGTCTATCAGAAGGAATGATAGAATTTGATTATTATTATCATTCTCAAGTTATCACAAGTAAGTATAATAGCAGAGATTGTTGTAAACTTTAAATAGTTATGAAAAGTCTAATGTTTGTTTTATTGAAACTCACGGTGGTAATGTTCCAAGAATTCTTCCCTCATATAATTTAACTTGGTCTAAACCATAAATGTCAAACATTTTATAGGGATTCACTGCAACCAGGATGCTACCCGTGTAGGTCTGCAATTTAAATAATCAAAACCGGTTGACGAATAAAAAAATTATTTCCATATCAAGAAGTCAATTCAATAACTTACGTAGATAAGTTCTTTGTCATAGCGTATCTTTAGATTCCAAAGTAAGGACGCCTCATTTAAATCACTGAAATGATATATATTTTACATTTAATATTTATCTTTTATTTTGATCATTAAGTGTAAATATTATTGGCAACAATCTAAATAATTACTTTAATTGAATCATGTCTTCCACTCCATTTTGTCCAAGATCCTGTCTGGGACGAACTCCACTTAGGTTTGTGAGTGTGAACGTTTGTGGCTGGAATAAAAAAAAAAAACTTGGAATCATGGGAAAAATTAAAAGAGTTTTAAAGAGAGCTTTGTTGTATTCATTAGATTTTTCTTTGGAAAAAATTCTTTGGGCTAAAATCCAATGTTTCAGATATTTTGTTTGGCTAATTTAAATATTTGTAATGAAGGTAAACATATAAATAGACTTTATCAACGTGTTTTGCCTTCTAAAATAAATCTTGAATCACTTTACAAGTTTTAAGGTTTCAGATTCTACATACTAATTATATTAGATACTTGTAAAGGTCAAGAACAAGGATAAAAAGTCAGCAGAAAATAATTCTTGATTAATTTGATGATGTAATAATTTTTATTTATGATATTAATCATCATAATAAATGTTTAATAAAATTTAACGATCTTATATTGATCATGGAGGATTAGTAAAAGTTCATAACAGTGCAAAAAAAAAAAGTGTAAAGGATGACATGTACTTTTATATTGCGTGATTTAAAGTGTAATCAATCTCAATCATGCACCGGCTGTCATATTTTCTTTCTTATATTACAATAATTATTCTTCATGAAAGTATTTATTTTTTTTCCTGAGAATACTCGAATGTACAATACTGTCCCTGGATATATATGTACCCATGATATGAACTTGATATAAAAAATATAAAAAAAAATTAACGGTGCTTGTAAATTCACAAGTGAACAGAATTACTTGAGAGTCGCTCTCGTGAAACCTAACCGGATGCACCATACCAGCCTACCTGACTTTGCAATGATGGACACATAGGCGTAGTTACTGACGTGTAGAACTTTTTTTCTTGCCATTATTTCACCACGATATTTTTTTTTATCTTTATCTTTTACACATAAATGACAGCAATAATAATAAAACATTTAGCTAAAAAATTTTCCAATATATTCTTGGATATAACAATAAAGAATCAATGTAAATTAATACTTTGTATTTTATGTTCAGTATCCAATTATGCAATAGAAAAATTATTTTTATCTATGACATATTTGTTATATTATTTCACGCCGATGTGCATTGTCATTTATAGAGAATCATCATCCAAACGCCAACTCTCTTCCTCCTTGAGAAAAATATTATTGTAATTTTTAATTATGAATATAATGTAATAAATTTACAATTTTATTTTTTTCATATAACTATTCATTTAATATACAATTAAATAAAGAATTTTATTCCTTATCGTCAATTAATTATTACATTAATTATAAAATTATTTATGCTTATAGTAAAGCACAAGTAGGTTAAAGAATTCAGATTAATTTTTAAGAGCAACTAAGTCAGATAAAATTATTAACTTATCTATCAATCATTGCAGCATATTCAAAATAGAAAGTATTAATATTGTAGATTGTATTAATTATATTACAAGAAAAGAACAATTAAAAAGTTGCTTTTTCTTTGTTCTTAATGAAAAAATAACTGATTATTATTACTGTTTATTGTCAATTATAAAATTAACTACGTAACTCCATTTAACTAGTCCAAGAAATTCACTTTTTTTGTTCAATTTTCATCATCAAAGTGTACAATAGAAATCAATAAAAGTGAATTAATTATTTTTAATCTGTATATCAGACTGTAATTAAAATTAAAAATGGAAAGTACTACAGAGCCTTTTGCTTCGTCATTTATAATAAGAGATCACCTAATTATCATACTGGCTTTCTTTCTCCTTGAAAACTCTATTCATTATTGGCGTTATTAGAGATATGGTTAACTCATTGTTTGAGATTATAATTTAGTTCACTTTTTATTGGCATAATGTTCTGGTGACTAAAACAATAGAATCAATAAAAATGAATTATTACTCTTCAATCACTACTCTGTAATTAAAGTGCAAAACCATTAACTGTATATTGTATCCCTCATTCATAATAGGCAATGAGTTAATTATTGACTATCTTTCGTCTTGCGAAGATTTATTATAAGCTACAAAGAGTTTAGTATTCTTCAGATAATGTATTTTTATAATATTCTTTACGATCATTCATTATAGCATAATTATGTTGGCAAAAAATTTGTTTTATTACCAAGACTAATAATAGTTGGACTCGATTACAAATGAGCTTTAAATACAAATTAATAAATAATTATATTAATGAAAGTAATTAATTTTTTATTCTATTGACCTATTTGTTCATTGGTTGATATAAAAATTCCCTCAAGATAATTATAATTTATTAAATGAATATTTTATGAATATACTTGGCAAATGATAGCAGTGGAACAGAGTTTTCATCATGATGAAATATAGGAAAAGAAAAATATTGAATTATTAATGAACAGCCTTCCGACAGTTGGAACAACAGAAATCGAATGAATAAATCAGTCTTTCAATCAATTGATTATAATTAAAGTACAAAATACTGAGCACTTTCGCGGAAGTGTCGAGGCATATAATGAGGCATTTGAAGTATTTCAATAATCTAGAATTGAATTAGACTTTCTACAACTCTGTTCTAACTACTTATACTGTTTAGTTTTCCGTTATAGTTTCATACAAATCTGGATCTCGTTTCTCTTTTCCTTTTTTAAGTGAATTGGAATGTCTTAGTAGACAACTAAAACTATGTCTACTGACAACACGTGATTTTCGACAAGATGAATAGATAAATAAATGCATTTAAAATGCATTTTATATTAACATAAGTATATGAGTATCAATCATCTCTTAATTCTTTTATTTACCAGCCGAATCATTTTTAAATGGCTCTACAAAAAGCGACTGGTGGGAAAGATTGACTGATTGTTATGGGACGTGGCCACGGGAAACTTTAAACTCGTTGGTTTCATTTCTATTCAAGGTCGGCTATGTTGTTCATATATCAAAGATAGGTTCAGGAATGTACCAAGAATTTTCGAAGAAAAAATCTGTCTTAAATAACGAAATTTTTGGAGGTTGAAATCATTCCATAGAACATAAATAAATGTACACTAGGAATTGTTTTGAATGTATTCCTTTCTTTTACCTTGCCAGCGATAACAGCTTGGACCGAAAGAACGTTGGCTGCTCGATGGTATTCCAATACTTCTCCTGGTAGCACATGGCCGACTCCCGGGTCGAACCACACCAGTTCTCCCTAAAACAATTACGTTGATTAGTTACTCTGTTTCTTGTTTACAAACAAATTACTCAGTGAAGAAAGTTATATGTTTTGTAATCAATTACTATCACTAAACGTGTTATTTTATCATTTATATAAATTATTATCACTTATTATTTCTTACATTAATAATGAAAATACTCATTAAAATGAGTTATGGATTCATAAGTCAACTAAAGTATTTGAAAGAATGAACAAAATTATTTTTAAATAAATACTTTTAAAACTAGACAGGAATTTAATAGAATAACCTTTTGTTGACTTTTAAAATACTAATATTTTCATGTTAGAAATTTTTTAAATGTAAATGAACGTGCTGTAAAGAATTACGCGGAGAAGAGTAAATAGTTATTTTTCGCACTTTTTTAAGCTGAATATCTCCTGTAGGTGTTGAGATAATATTTTTCTCAGACAAATTATCAACTTTAGCATCACTAGTTTGTTTTTTTGGAGCACTAGGAACTTTTCTTCTTCCTGTACAGAATCCAAAAATTGATGATGAAGGTGCTGGAGATAACGATTTAGTCCGATTAATATCACAAAGTGATTTTGAATGAACATTAATAGTTTTCACTGTGTTTGTTTTGTCTTTTAAAAATTTCGATGATAATTTGGAGACTCTTGTTTCACTTTGACGATTTTCTAAAGTTTTTGTTGCAATTTTAAGTGGAATACTTGAATTTGTAAAGCTTGATATTTTCTTAGCACTTTTTGTGTAAAGTGGCAGAGTTGTAGATTCATGAGTCTTTCTTAAAGGTATCAAACTTTGGCCTGGTTTATTTTTTCGTTCTATAGTATTTTTAGAATCACTACCAGATTTAACATTATGCCATGTTGATGTACTGAAGTGTGAATTTTTTGGTTTTACTCCACAATTTACTCGATTCTCACTTTCATTAGCACTTCGTCTAGGAAGTGATGATTTTTTTTCATCTCCTTGACTAAGTTGCTGAGTATTCGAAGCTAGGTTGGTTCCATAATTAGCATCTTGCCCCTTTTGACTTCTGAATTTATCCTGGATTGAAGATTTAACCTTAAGTTTATTCTCGAAATCTTTTTCTTCAGCATTATTAATAATCCTTCTCCTTGAAACAGCCTTCAACTCTTGCATTTGATTTTTTTTATCTCCACCGGCCACATTTTTATTCTTGTCAGCACTCTCTTGAGTTAAAGAACATGATTTCGATGACGACGACTTTCTTAAAATTTTTCCAGATATTTTTTTACAGTCTAATCTCATATCGATCTGATTAGTTTCGTTAGGAGACGAGTTATAAGTAAAATTCTTTAAACTTTTAACATCTAGTTTTTCTTCCAAGAAATCCTCACGTTCTCTAAAATGCTGTAGACTGGTCGAAGATTTTCTCAAAATGGATTCACGTGAGACAACAGGTAAAGAATATTTTCTCCTTCGAATTCTCCCATAGATAGGTGCTTCTCTGCTAGCAGACTCTCTTGACTTATGTCCACTCCAATCGGCTTCACCAACGTTATGATTAATATTTTTACTAGTGTGCACAATTTTTGGTAATGTCGAGGGTCGAGGAACTAAACGAGTGATGTCCCGAAGTCGATTGGAAACTGTAAGAAAATCCGCGACAGACCTAGCGCCTTCTCTTCTATCAAGTGATCCCTCTCTCCTTTTTCCGGTATTGCAAGTTGCAGCATTCTTTACATATGTGAAAGATGGTCTGATGGATCCTTCCATTCGTCTAGTCTCATCCTTTCTCTCTGAATTAATTACACGTCCAGTTTCCAGTAAGCTACTGCTCTTTCTACGTAGCACGACCTGGACAGGCGTTCGAGGGGCTTCAAAGCTAGTTCTTCTATTTAGAATATCTTGTCTGGAGATCCTTCGAGTTTCAGGATACCCTGAGGAATAATTTTCCACAAAACCTTTTGACCTTCTACCAATAGATGGTAGAGTCTGAGGTCTTGAATCCAGATAATAATTACGAAATTCATTTTCTGAATGTCTCCACGGATACTGGGGGTGTTGAAGAGTTTGGGTAAAATTTCCATAACCCGAAGGGTCTCTTCTTCTTTCTAGTATCTCTCGACGAGATATCCCAACTTGTGCACTCGACCGGAACCCTTCCGGGTTGCTGTAACGCTTAACAAGCTGACGATTAGCAAACTCCTCTTGTCTCCTCGAGGTACCTAGTGTCACTCTCAGTCTCTGTGGCGTTAAATTTGTAGGATCTAGGTCTGGGTTAGTATGCAAGTTACGTTCATAAAACAACTGCTCGTTATGTGAATAAACTTCCGCTCTCGTGGGCTTATTATTGAGTTTTGGATAACTCTTGGATACTCTAGTGGATGCACGATCATTTTGGGCTGCTCTGAAAGAATGATCCATGCTGAATGTTGATCTGATGTGGGGATCATCGTCTGTTTCATCAGAAGCTGCCTTAAGAGTCCAGCGCGATCTTTTGGCTGTACATTAGCTAGCTGTTTTAGGATAAACTCTTGACTCTATGTGTGCATTCCAACTCTAGGCGCAGCCGAGATGTTTTCTTAATCGAAACGAGCTACGACTCTCAAGAGCCAACTCACTTCCGCTCACTCCGAGGTCATTGCACGAGCGAGTACCGGGATTGCCGTACCAGTGGCCTCTTTGTAGTAGAATTCTCTTTCGCGTTTTCCACGCGCGAGTGCGACGACTCTCCACTGTGTTGCTTTTTTTCTAGAATCATCATCTTTTATTCGCCACACAAAATTTCACTGCGTTTGCTCAATCTAGAGTAGAACAAGTGATATTTTTCCCAATGAGGTCACTGTCATGAATAATTGGTGTCATAAATTTATTTCACTTTGCAACATTTGATGACACTTCTTCAGGGTCATCGCACCCCGGAACCGCCAATGTCTCGGCTAACTTGACTTCTAACTAGATCCACTTAATAAACGACACACGAACAGTCCCATTCGGGCCATGCTTTAACTTCTACGTCGTGCATTTTAACATTTTGTGTTTTAAATTTACAACGAGAGTGTAGAGACCATGAACTACTGTAAGATTATCGGGTTCAATGGGTCACTGGCTCAAAAAATTCACGGTCTTAGCACCGATCACGTACAAATCGGTAACGGTAATCAATCCTTACAAACTTGAGATCCAAATATTTGAGTCACATAGGCAAATAAATTCCGCCAGTATTGTTTGATGACAGAAAAAATCTTGAAAGTAATTCACGAAATTTTAAAAATAATTTTTAATCCGATCTTCAGGATGTTCGATGCGCAACTGAAGTCTAGAAGTCTTTCTTGCAACGATTGCTCCTGTTGCACAGTGGCGTAGATGTTTTTAATTAATTCTTCAACTTAATTGGACGTTCATCGAGGCGTTGGATCTTGACTGGAGTCCACCCACGAGCTTTCATCATTTAAATAAATGAAGGTCCGTCCTTATTCTTCTTTCTTGAGCAAACACTCATTAAAAGCAATAGACGTCAATGCTTATGCCATTAGTTACTCTTCTACTTCCTGTTGTAAAATTTATTTTATTATAAACAATAAAAAAATTAGCTGGCGCCATTGGATCGAAGTGCTTTGGGGTGGAACCAAGCGTACTTCTTCTCTTATATAAATTACGCACTAAATAACCACGCATATGTGCAGTAAGTGCATTAGAACGGGAAATATAATGCAAGCTTGATAGCGAGTGAACTGAAGACATAAAGAATTTTCTAAATGCAAAGCATAAACATCAGCATGTGTAATAAATTTCTTTTTTTTTTTTTTGCTTCTTATTTTTTTTAATGAAGAAAAATGACTTTCAATACAAGAAATAATAGTTTAATGCTACTGGAAAGTTGTGGACACGTGCACACTTTTTTCAACAGATCATTGACTTCTATCTTGATTCTCGATGCAGCCTTTGTATGTCCATCGACTGTTTATCTGTGTGAATGTCATAAGAGTGTATACAGCTGTGAATCACAAACCGGAAACACTTCTATTGCAGAATGCACGTAGAGTTTGTAATAATAATGATAATATTAATAAAAGCAAAAATTATTATTTTATTAGTAACATGATAATAATCAGTATGTATTGCATGTCTTACCACTTGCCAATCGGTGTGCATTTTTGGATAGTATTTAAAGATGCATAAAAATCATCATCATTTTATTGAAACTACTTCTTCCTGGACTCCTGTAACCTGGAACAAATTGCTAATCAATTATTTATGTCTCATTTTTTATTGAAGTACAAAATTGATTACAGAAAAAGCTAGAAGATAAATGTGAACAACAATTGGTCATTTAATAAATGAAAGTTTTTTCAAAGTGTAACAGACAATATTACAAGTTATAAACGATTCGGAGCAAGTTAACACCCATCAGGAAGTAATTTTGACTTTAATGATTACAACTGGATTTAAATTCTTCTTGGAAGACAAGACTTGTGTCGAAGATAAAAACGAAGTTAAAATTCTTGTAAGCAATTTCAATTGCTTGAAGACTTATATACATTGAAGATAAAACTGAAGTGCATTTTTAATCTTAAATTACAGTGGAAGTGGATTTATTGTACATCTACATTAAAGGTGAAGTTGAAGTTAAGCCAGTTGTTCTGCCAGTTTATCATCCCTCATTATAATGAACGAACAAGATGCAAGTAAAAGTACAAAATAAATTAGTTTCTTCCTTTGATGTTGACACAGCCAAGGCGAAGAATGCATTTCGCAATTTTATGGTCATTTGGGTTGGTCACACTCGATCGAAGCGTAGGTGCAACCAGTTAACAAGAAGAAATTAAAAAATCATTGCTGAGAGAACAATAGTCTTTCAAGTGGGTTTAAGATAGGCTTTGCAACATACACGTAGACTGTAAAATACCTAAGCACGTACTTATACACTTAAATAAATAAATAAACGTATATACAAATAGGGAAAAAAGAGAATAAAAATAAAATGCTCCAAAGAATGGCGATTTGCTGGACATTTCGACATGAACGATTGTGCATTGTACCTTCGAAAGTGAAGAACTTTTAGTGGTTTAAATGGAGGAAGCTGTTGTTTCTCCAGCACTTTCGAAATAAAAAATGAGGAAAAAAATATTGAGAAAGAAAGGCCCTACAGATTCAATTCTTTCATTTTTCACTCTTTAACTCTTTTCTCGTGTCATTCATTTTTTTGATCCTTTTTTGTTAGGGGAAAGTTGTTGTCAACCAATGAGAGTATCTAATTCAGAAAAGCCACCAAGTCATCATTTACAGTCTATTAGCAGCTAAAGAGGAAAGAAAGAAGGCGTAAATAATAAATTTATTAATTCTGTGACAAATTGAGCAATAGGTGATTGTTTTTCATTGTATTTTTATCCATAAATAAATAGCATCAGGAATTAATTTTATGGTATTCAAATGACCTGAATTCTATTATTTAGCATAAAATAACAATAAGCTGAATGATGAATAAAAAATATTATTTTATATAAATGTTTAATATTTAAAATAAAATTGAAAATAATTAATTCATAGTTTTATAATTTGAAATCAGCTTGAGTGCTTTTATGTAACATACATATAAAAACAAAAAAAAAAGTGAAAAACAAATAGATAAATTATAGTGATTATATAAAGAACAACTATTAAATAATTCAGAGCAGTTTCTTTTAAAAAAATAAAAGAAAGTCATTTTGTCAAAAGATTGTATCAATTTTTTTTTCCATACGTGCAAATGAACGGTTTAATAAATCGATTTCTTTCTTATGAATAGAATCATTAACTCAATACATGGGAATATATTATGAGGAAAGATATGGATTGAAATATTATTTCTTGTGATTCATAAGAGTTACTAGAGCTTTACGATCATTACTACAGAAGAGTGGCCTTGTATAAACGCCATTCTCACGTGAGAATTTATGTTAGTGAATGGCAGGACTATGACAGAACACGCCTCAAGGTATCCTGATGTATCTAGACAGTTTGTGGTTGCAGGAGCTGCTGTGGAAGTCCAGAGAATCAGGGTTTCCTCGAGAAAATATTGAGGTCAGACAGAGAAAGCAGCTACTCAGATACCCTAGTGGTGATACAAGACTCTTCTTACGTAATTCATAATTGCCTGCTACGCTCGCATATCAAAATTAAAGAATCACGAGCTGCAAATACCGGAAAACTAATGAACTGCACGGTCATTGCATTTCCGTAGAAGTACAGTGATCTTTTTATTTGAATATTCAATGAGAAGAATAAACTAAGCACTATCCAAATATGTATCTTTTCATTTTCTATTTTGTTTTACTTTTACTTCAAGTTGAGTAGAATATACATTACAATGAAACCAAAATGACTACTACTGATAACCGTTAAAACCTTATCAGTTTCCCACGTTTGTTGAAACTTTCAGTCATGTTTGTTGTTTTTATATTTTTTTGCCAATAAATATTATGATATGAGCTACTATAATGAATTTTATAGTGCTCTTACAAGATAAAAAAAAAATTTAATACTCAATGAATCATGCAAAGAAGTATTTATTAATAGATACTATTTAAAGTGTAAAGTTAATCATGAAACTGGAGTAATAGAATTGCAGACAAGTTTGAAAAATCTGGACTATTTATCCTTGGAATTCTTTCAATCATGATTAATTGTTCTATTACGAGATAAAGTAGCAACTAAATGAGTAATTAATTCATTTTAAAAAATAACTTAAATGGATTCCATAAATGATTAGAAAAAAAAGGTATTTCATTAGAATAATGCAATCAGAAAGATTTTAACAATTTATGTAAATCATTCTTTTAATTTCTCCAATATAGTTAATATTCTGTGAATAAAACTATTATTTGGATAATCATTTATGTTGCTATATGACATTTAAATGCCTCAATGATTAATGTTCCAGCGGTGAAGAATTTGCAATGCAAATCAGAGATAATCGAGGATTTAAGGAAATGAAATCGAAGAAAAGTTTGTAAAAATTCATTTACATCATTCTTGAGGTTTTTTTTTTTACATCATTTTCAATCATTGATTCTGGTTTATTATACCTTTTAAAGTATGTACTGATGAGAATTGTAAATTTTACTAGCAAATTCTCCAAGGAATTTGAAGAAAATCGTTAAATTCAAACAATAAAGTTGAAAACAAGCTAGAAAAATGCGGATACTTTATGTTATGAGCTAATGTTTTATTGCACAATTCGAAAGGACTTGAAGTAATCACAACGTGACTGAAGATTCTCAAATGACGATGCTCTGAAGAGCATCTCAAGCATAGAGTCATGAGGACGACAGTCTCGGACGTTGGAGAAAGGCATTCAAGGCGATCATCTTCAAGCAACAGCTTGGCGACTTGGTATGTAATCTTTCAAGTGACGAATAAAAATCTTAAACTGCAATTACTCTAGACTTTGTAATCATAGCAGAGATAATTTGATGAAACTTAATAAATTATTTTCACAACTTTTCTTCTAGGTGACTTTTAGTGAGTCCAACTCTTCACGACTTGGAAGACCATAAAACAACTGAGTTTCGGTTGAAAAAGTGGTGTGTTGGAAATGGTCTAGACTTGCTCGCGTGTCACACGCCATCTTCCAAGCCATCTAAGTCGAAAGGAAAACCTTTTGAATTTCAAATAGACCTGGTTATAGTGATTTATGGAAGAAGAATAATCCAAAATCGAGAGTATTACTACAAGATAACTGGTAAAAGTAATTCCTTAAGAAATTCCAGTATCGTTTGGCGATGAAATCATCGAAGAATACGAGGAGTAAACCGGTATTCCCGTTGGAGCTATTTAATTTCCGTGGGACAATCTTGCTCGTGGGAGCAGTGTAGCATCGAAGTCTCCAACGTTCAGTCGTTGAGGATTTCACTCATCTTTCTAACACTCAATGAAAGAAAAACTCCATTTCAATGGTCGTAATCAATAATAGCTTTTGAAATTTCATTATAACAATTGTTGCATCAACTCCATCAACATTTACTGATTTTATATTTTTCACATCCAACCACTTATTTAAAATTATTCAAGTAATAATGAATTCGCAGTCGATTAAATTATAAAGGTTCTTGCCAATTAAACTGTTTAATAATCTTAAAAATTTCTCCAATGAAAATTCACTGTAACATTAATTTCCACATCATTACACTGATCATCATAAAGTATACGTGTTTAAGCAATTATTAAATCACTGGTTGAATTAAAAATAAGTATATAAATTCACAGAAAATATGAATTTTCCATTTATTTACCTTATTAATTTGCGAAGCACGATTGTAATTCTCCACTCCACGACTGACTAAGCAACTGAGACCGAAGAGAAAGAGAATGAGGAATGAAAAAAAGTGAAAGAAAACAGTTGAAGATCACAAGCTAACCACTTTAAAACAATAGTGAATATTTATAAAACTATTCAGTATTTATTTTCACTTAATTCATCATAAATAATGTCCATTTGATTAGAGATATTTACAAGAGTCACAACATAAAATAGATTTAAACACTACAACCACCAAATTTAATAAACGAGAGGCTGACGACGACTGTCTGCCGCTTCAACACGGATCAAACCGTGGTATGCGGTCGACCTCGCCTCCTAGTAGTTCAAAAAGCCAACGAATTGGCGCCACAGTCCACTGCAATACCGTTATGAGATCTACAGGTGGCTGGTATACCTGTTCGATGTGCAAAGTGTTTGAAAGTGCTTTTGAGAATACCCCATACCTGCACCACCACCTTTACTTAGTTTTATTTACGCCCTACCTCCAAATTTCCTGGGTCTCTACCGTCTCGACTTGTAGAGACACTTACAAGGTATAACAAATGGTGACTTGACATGCGTCGAAGGGGGTCATGTTGGTTGTGCCTAATCGTAAGGCCGTTGTCCTCATAGATTCATAGAGATAAGTTTCTAATGGACCCCTATGAATTTTTTTACCTCATTCAGATAAAATTTTAGAGACTCTTGACCTTGGCTCGAGAGCTGTTAAAAGACATGTTACTTTGCAGGATTTTCTTTGAGATTTTTCGATAAAAATATTTCAGGTAAATGCTATATTTTTTATGCAATTCAGCAAAATAAATTATTTGTAAATAAAATGGTAAGTTATTGTTTACTAAACTCTTCTTTTTTCAGTTTTCAGCAAAATTGAAATAAATGGAATACTTTTTTTCTGGTCTGATGGAAAATAGGTAAAGTTATGAATTTTAATGCCCAATTTTGGTTTAAAATAGAATAGATAAATGTTTTACAAATACTTTATTTCTATTTTTTATTCTTATGCAAATATCTTGGAGTTCATTTTATTAGATAAGTTTCTTTTTTTCTCAGTATTTTGTCTCTATTATTAATGTTTTAGAAAATTATTTTCTTATCAGTGAATATATTTTACTATTTACTCATACATCATTCCTCTCTCAACACATTTTATTCAAGAATTCTAACGTGAAATAATTTTCTTTCATTGAAATATACTTTATAACAGTATTTTAATTCTCTCGACAGTTTTATTTTAGCTTTGATAATGTCATTTTTAAATAAAAACTTGTATTTATTGATTTTTATTCTTGTAGGAACCTCCTTAAATCCTAAATTTATTGAAATTTCAAATATTTTACTCTTTCTTTTCAGCATCATTCTCAGTCGTCGACTTTTTAATTAACTGAAAAAAATTTCGTTGATGGTGCCGGAGATCAAAGGTAAAAATCCAAACATTCTCAAATAATTTTCTCATTTTTCTTTTCAATCAATGTTTCTTCAGAAAAAATTGATGTATATTTTTTTAAAATAATTTCAGGTAATTATTCATGACTAATTGAATTCATAATTATAAAAAAAAATTCTGGTCAGAAACCTATACTTTTTTCACCAGTGGAACTGATGATAATGTTAGTATCAGCAAAAAATGCTATAAAAATGAATTAAAGTATCGCTAAATAACAAATTAATAAGCGGGTTGAGAAATATTCAAAAATGTTCCAAGAGTGCCCTTAAAACGTTAATAATCCATTCGTGAATTTTTTCCTTCAACAAAAATGTTTTTTTATTGTTCAATTATAATGAATAAATTATTCGACCCACCAAGATGTTATCGAGATAGGAATTATAACACGTCTGTATGATTAATTTATTAATTATACTGATATTTATTACTGTAAGATGCAATACTAATGAAATAAGTTATCAGACTTTCTTATAAAACACCCTACTATTACCCTGTTATTAGTGATAATAATCGTAAATGAACTGGTTAAGTTAAATGGTAAAACTAGGTGCTTGTATAAGTAAAGTAAGACTTTCACCGCTACGAAGTCAAGAAAATATTTTATAATTTCTATATGAAATTGACATAATCTTTTCCACTTTTACATTTCCTGTGATCAAGATCATTTTATTAGCATTATTTTATCGCGAATATTATTCACCTGACACCATGGTTATCCAGTGGCCACAAAAAAGCCAAGTCACTGATTTCATATATTATTTATTAAGTAGGACTGACATGACCGCATACCTCGTGTGCTTATATGGCAGATATGCAAACAATGCACCCATAGATCTTCGTTCACCGTTAACTTGACAGTTTTATATTGAGGATTAGTACGAAGCCTTATAGAAGAGTTCAAATGAAATGTAATTATACTTTCTAATTATCCCAAATACTTGATGGCAGTCTAGTATGACACTAACTGAATAAATGTCATGTTATTTCATTTTCTCTAGAAAAAGAAATAAGCTTCAATTTATTTGACATGAAAAACATATTTTTCTCAATTATTTTTTGAATTAAAATATTCATAATTCAAAAATCAAAATAATTGAGCAGAAATTCGTTTTACCGACTTTAATTAACGTGCGTTGGTATATTACCATTACATTAACTACTATTTTATCGACTGTTGAATAAGATAAATTGGATAATTACCCAGTGGTGGTATAAGTTTTTATCCAATTCAATAGATGGCATTGAGGATCACGTAATTGATTGGAATTCAAACTGCAGAATGCAAATTTCCAAATAATTACCAGAATTACAGTCCAAGGTCCAAGAAACCTAAAAAAAAATATGAGTAAGTAAAAAATGGACACTAAAAGGTAGTTAATCCGTAACATAAAAATATTGCAAGCCAAAGTTAATTGATAAAATGATTGCGAATTTCTTTTTGAGAAGATTAAAGTTGAAAAATTAATTAAATCACACGTAATCGGTAATATTTTATTGATGGAATGGATGTATGATATAATTCAAAATGCGGTATGATTTTCTATTGAGTTAATGACCTCTTCAAAGTAATTAATCTTCGTAATTACACGCGATATTAACATAACGATACGGAGTCTGACAAAGACTATATAGGAGCGATCATTGAAATTGAATCCTCATGTAAATCATTATAACTTTCACTTGGATATATAATAAATTATTTCTCGTTATCAAGATCAACTATGACAACTTTATTAATGAATTTATTATTATTTTCATAATGAAAATGTAATTACATTGAGTTAAATATAAAGACATCATTATTTTATCTTTTCTATAGGAGAATAAGTTGGAAAAAGTATAACAAAAGAGTTATTCTTTTCTGGTGTTATAGATGAAGATGTTGAATAGAATAGAAAGCATCCAATTTGTGTATCGGTATATAATATATTTGAGAATAAAAGTGTGCATTGCCCAGGCAGAGGTGAAGCAATTTTTTCGATTGATATGGATGAGACGCTCGACTTTTGATGTACGCTCAATTTCAAATGGAAAATCATGTCTGGATTGGATTTTGTACGTGAGCTGAAATAAAGTAAATGCCGTGAGTTTCTCGCTCGTTTGAACAAACGTAACGCGATGCCCAAGATGAATTCTCAATTTGATTGAAGAAAATATAAACAAAAAATTATTCTAACAACAGTAAATATTTTCCTACTTAACTCATTCTAATTATTTTATTCTATCAATTATATGTACTTATCAATTATTAATCATTTCTTTCAAAATTCTTTATTTGACTTAATAACAATAAAATTAATGATCTTCTTTCAGATGAATTTGTTGTTTAAAAATTTTGCTACATTTTAAAATTATTGATTAATCACTAGAATTAACTATTGGAGGGGAAAAAAATCAGTTAAAAATATAATAACAGTTAAATTTATTCTTTGCTTGAAAAAGTTTTAAATAATGGCTGTTTAAATTACTGCTTTCACCTCTTTTGTTGAATCTATTACTTCTCATTAACTTTAATCACCGTTTAAAAAAATTACAAAGCATTCATTAAACAAAATTTTTCGAGTATTCTACTAGGTGACGGTAATAACATCGGAATCGGCACTTTGCCAAGAAAAAATTTAGCGATTACAGGAGTATATAATACTTTGCCGTATTTTCTCACTAGATGGACGAAATTTTCGGAGATTTTTTGCCTCTTTTTTTTTCCTGAAATATGGGAGAAAATCGCAGATGAAGGAGAGGGTGAACTTGTGGGTATTTCTATGCCGCAACTTAAATTGGCTCGATAAAAGTTGGTGGAACAAAGCGGCGCCGAGTAACAGGAGCTCGCGCGAGTTGCCACGTGCACTATATATTATCGGAAACATCTGCCAAATGTTATTACAACTTTGAATAAAGAACGACCTGTAAGAGAACTTTCGTTTACCTCTGGCGGTCTTCGTTACCTGTTCTTTTCTCTTCAAGTTTACTTCATATTACATTTTTTGCAATGTTTCACCCTTTTACAGCCTAATTTATTCCCTAAAATTGCCGAAAATAAATTTTGTTCATCAATCATGCTAATGATATTCATCTTACAGTGTTTATTAATCTTACTCTTAAATGAGAAGAACAAAAAACAATTGTTTAAAATTGACAGTGAAAATAATTCAACAAATGAAATATTAATGAATGAAATGAGAATATAATATATGGGAGTAATCAATAATTTATTAATTAATTTTAAGAAAAATAGTGATAAAAAAATCACAACGAAAACAATTTGGTTGAAAATGTGGTGTGATGATTTATTAATCAGGTTATCCTACTTCTATTTTTAAGACACCTGGACCTCAATTAAATTGCTGGTGAATGAGCCTTGTCTTCCAGACTTAGCGATGGAAGTAGAATAAAAGATATAGATTTGAAAAGGAAAATTATACGATATCGTTTCTCGATGATTCATCACGCCATTTGAGTCTCGCATGAGGGTATAGATCAGTGCGGACGATAACATAATTTACGAAGGCGTGGGGTATGGGTTTATGGAGATTGGGAAATTTTAGTAGAGAATTACAAACGATTTTCTGGTGTATATATGTACAGACCCATAGGCCATAGACTGCACACGTACATACAATATCACTAATCGAATTGATTAGCCAAATTGGTAGTTATACGACGCAGTTACAATTAATCTGCTGAGTCCGCTGATTATCCTTTCGATTCGCGATCTATATATGTACGTTTGAACACAATAATCCGATAAAACTGATCCTTTCGCTGTGATACATACCTATATATTTATCCGATAGTCAACTTTTTTTCGAGATTGTTCTCTGCTTTATATATTTT